TGATTAAAAAAAAAAAAAGATGAGTTCCTTCTGCTTGTTTTTTGGGTGCTGACAATTTCAAGGCGAACTGGGTGGACGCAAGCCAGCCCGCAAGTGGACAAGAACATCTTGGCTTCTGGAAACCGGTGGGCGGAGAAGCGAATGTTCACCTCTGAGAGGGTGTCACAGAGCCACAAATGTCTCTCTTCACTTCTGGGCCACACCTGGAGGTGCTCCGGGCTGACTCCCAGCTCTGTGCTCACGGATCACTCATAGCTGGGATTGGAAGATCCTACAGGGTGTTCCAGATTGGACCTGGGTGGGCCGTGTGCAAGGAAAGTGGCCCCGCCCCTTTCACCCACACCCCTCCCCCTTCCGGTGGTATTGCTCTGGCCTCTCTCAGTAATTTTACACATTGTTTCCTGGGGCTCAATTTTCCTCATGCCCCTTGTCTTTGGGGCCCCCGATGCCAAGTGTGAGCTGGCAGGCATGTTTCACTTCCTTTGTTTTGGTTTTTGGTTCTTGAGGCCACACCCGGCGATGTTCCGTGGTTACTCGCAGCTCTGCACTCAGAAATTACTCCTGGCATGCTCGAGGGTCTCTACGAGGTGCTGGGGATCGAACCCGGGTGAGCTGTGTGCCAGGCAAACGCCCTCCCCGCTGGACCGTTATTGCTCCGGCCCCTTGTTGGGGGGGTGGTGTAGGGGTTTGGGGCCACGCCTAGCAGTGTTCAGGGGCTCCTCCTGGCTTTGCGCTCAGGAATCACTCCTGGCTGTGCACTGGGAGGACCCTGTGGGATGCCGGGGATCGAACCCGGGTCGGCCTGCGTGCAAGGCAAACGCCTTCTCACTGTCTTCTTGCTCTAGTTTCATACATGTTCTCTTCACCCCATCTCAATGGATCCCTTGTTTTTTTTTTTTCTTTCTGGGTCACACCCGGCGATGCTCAGGGGTTCCTCCTGGCTCTGCACTCAGGAGTTACTCCTGGCGGTGCTCAGGGGGACCCTACGGGATGCTGGGAATCGAACCCGGGTCAGCCGCGTGCAGGGCAAACGCCCTACCCGCTGTGCTATCGCTCCAGCCCCTGCTTTTGCTTTTTTTGTTCTGCTTTTTTGGGTCAAACCCAGCGATGCTCAGGGGTTCCTCCTGGCTCATGCACTCAGGAATTATCCTGGCGGTGCTCGGGGGACCCTATGGGATGCTGGGAATCGAACCCGGGTCGGCCGCGTGCCAGGCAGACGCCCTCCCCGCTGTGCTCTCGCTCCAGCCCCATCAACGGATCCCTTGGGAGGAAACGGGCGTTGAATCAACGCTTCCATTGGACTCCACCCACCACCCTCTTTTTCAGCCTGGGTGGCTATTGTGAGGGGGAAATCTGGGAGGACTGGGTGTCGGGGTGACAAAAGGGGAGTGTGGGGTTGTGTTGGGGAAATTCTCTTGGACTTTTCACTGGGCAGCTTTGCACCCCAGGGCGAGTTTGAACACGGCCACTTCCAGGTGCCTCTTTCACTTCAGGAGAGAAAATAGGAAGTGTGCTTTATCTTCAAGCAGAGGGACGCTGGGGCTAACCTTGGCGGGGGTGGGGGGCCGGTTGAGAAGGAACGGGGGCTGCCAAGTGTCTCGGGGTGGGAGTGTATTTGGTCAAATTGGACCCCCGACCTGCCATGCCTCCCCCCTGCCCCACCTCCCCGCCCCAGCCCTGCCGGTCTCCTGAGTACCTGCAGTCCCCCCCAGGAGCACCCCTGGGGAGACCCCTGCAGGGTGAAAGAAAGGTCAGGCCAGAGGATAGAACAGGGGAGAGGGCATTTGCCTGGCACGTGGTCAACCAGGGTTCGATCCTCAACACCCCAGAGGGTCCCCCAACCCCCACCAGGAGTGATCTGGTGCAGAGCAGGTTGCAACCCAAAAACAAAGAAGAAAAAGAAAGGTTGATGTTGGGGTGCTCCAAGTCTGGGTCTTGGTTGTGGGGCTGCCTCAGAGATAGAGTGGGGGGATCTCCATGGAGGGGAACCCGAGTCTCTGGACTCAGTATTCAGCCCTGGAAACCAAAATAAAGAATGAGAATAAAGGGGCTGGAGCGATAGCACAGTGGGGAGGGCGTTTGCCTTGCACGCGGCAGACCCGGGTTCGATTCCCAGCATCCCATATGGTCCCCTGAGCACCGCCAGGAGTAATTCCTGTATGCAGAGCCAGGGGGAACCGCTGTGCATCGCCAAGTGTGACCCAAAAAGCAAAAAAAAAAAAAAAAAAGAATGAGAATAAAATCTTCTGTTATATTTTTGGGGAGGGGGGTTAGGTCACACCCAGCGGTGTTCAGGGCTTCCTCCTGGTGGGGATTGGGGGACCCTAGCGGGTGCCAGGGATTCAGCCGGGTGGCCCAAGTGCAAGGCCAGCCCTGGATGACACCTTGTGAGTGAGGTACACAGCTTTACATGCGTTCCGTGGGCGGGTGCTGTGAGGTCTATGTTAACCGCTCCACTGTTGGAAGGTACCAGAAGCTTCACACCCACAGTAAACAGCCGAGCCCAGAACACGCTTTATTCAGGGCGACAGGAAGTCCCCAGCAGAGGAGGGGTTCCACCTGTGCCTGAGGTTGTATTTTATTTACGTTCTTGGTTTTGGGGCCACGCTCGGGGATGCTTGGGACTTGTGCGGTGATTGAACCTGGAAGGCAAGCACCGTCCCCGCGGTGCTATCGTTCTGGCCCCAACTAAATTGCACCAGACCAGTGGCAAAGAGATGAGGACAATATGAACAGCGATAGAAGAGTAAGGTCACTCAATCCTGTTTATTTACATCCTTTTCTTTTCTTCTTCTTTTTTTCTGTTTGGGCCACACCCGGCAATGCACAAGGGTTCCTCCTGGCTCTGCGCTCAGGAGTTACTCCTGGCGGTGCTCAGGGGACCATATGGGATGCTGGGAATCGAACCCGGGTCAGCCGCGTGCAAGGCAAACGCCCCCACCTGTTATAGGATCGCTCCAGCCCCTTAAATATATATTTTTTTCTTTTTTGCTCACACCCAGCGATGCTCAGGGGTTCCTCCTGGCTCTGCACTCAATTACTCCTGGCGATGCTTGGGGGACCCTATAGGATGCCAGGGACTGGACCTGGGGTGGACACAGGCAAAGACAAAATTCCCTCCCTGGCCCATCAGTTCTTTTTATTGCTTGGTTTGTTGTTTGGGGGTCACACGGAGCAAGCTCCCGGCTTGCTCCCAGCAGGGTTTAGGGGCCCCATGGGTGGCAAGTCAGGAGCTTACAAACAGGTGCTTCCCTACGGTGCCATTATCTCTGGCCCCTGCTTTGACTTTAGTCCCAACTCCTAGTGAAGGGCCAGAGCTGACTGGGTAACATCCCCCCTTCTCCACTTCCAGCTCTTCTTCTATGTTCTCCAGGAAGCTGAAATCTCCAGAGCATGGAGTCCGGGTGGGGGAGTCCCCCCTCACCCAGTGCAATGAGGAGCTGCTTCTGTGAGCACCCTGGGTCTTTCCAGGGAGGCCTGCCTGCGATCCTGAGCTCGCAGGGAGCTTCCTCTTTTGGGGGATCCGCGGCGGTCCACCTCCGCCCTCCGGCAGGGCTGAATTGCTGATGGGAAATTTGGGTTTCCTCCCGATCACTTGGCTGGCCTGGCTTTGGGGATTTCTTCTGGACTCTCCAGCCCTTGAGGTCTTGATGGGAAGCTGGGGTGGGTGGGGGGCAGGAAGATTTAGGGGGGCTCCGGGGGAGCTCCAGGATGGGGGCTAGGGAGTGACAGGTGGGTGGGAAAGGAGAGAGTTTGAAAGAAACAGAGAGAGAGAGAATTGGAGTTAGAGAATTAGAGACAGGGTGATCTAGAGATAATAAGTGAGATAATAAGATAATATATTAATAATATATTATTATTATTATTATTATCTCACTGCTACTTTGGACAACCTGGCAGGCGACCGAACGTAACCTGCCCACACGGCAGAGTCTGGCAAACTCCCCGTGGCGTCCCCAATATGCCAAATACCAGTCACAAGGATGGGTCTCATTCTCCTATCCCTGAAAGAGCCTTGAATATGGCACTGTTTCAAATCTCAGGGCTAGGACAAAGGAGACGTTACTGGGGCCTGCTCGAGGCAATCGATGAATAACAGGATGATCGTGATTGTGATCTAGAGAGTTAAAGTTAGAATCCAAATTAGAATTCGAGAGAGTCAGAGAGAATTAGAACTAGAGAGAGCGAGAGAGGGTTAGGGTTAGAGGGAGTTTGGGAGAAGTCAGTGTTAGAAAGAGTTGGAGAACTGGCATTAGTGTTAGCGGGAATTAGAGTTAGGATTTGGGAGAGTCCGAGTTAGAATTAGAGAGAGTAAGTTAGAGAGAGTTAGAATTAGAGTTAGGGAGAGTCAGTGGTAGAGAGATAGGATTAGGGGCTGGAGCGATAGCACAGCGGGTAGGGCGTTTGCCTTGCACGCGGCCAACCCGGGTTCGATTCCCAGCATCCCCTAGGGTCCCCCCAGCACCTCCAGGAGTCATTCCTGAATGCAGAGCCAGGAGTAACCCCTGAGCATCGCCGGGTGTGAACCAAAAAGCCAAAAAAAAAAAAAAAGAATTAGGATTAGAGTTTGAGAGAGTCAGAGAGTTAAAATTAGAGAGATTTAGGGGCTGGAGCGATAGCACAGCGGGTAGGGCGTCTGCCTTGCACGTGGCCAGCCCGGGTTCGATCCCCAGCATCCCATAGGGTCCCCTGAGCATCGCCAGGTGTGAACCAAAAAGCAAAAAAAAAAAAAAATAGGGTTAGAGTTTGAGAGAGAGTCAGAGAGTTAAAATTAGAGAGATTTCGAGTCAGCGGGAATCAGAATCAGAGTTTGAGAATGAGTCAGAGGAGGAGGGGGAGTGGGAGGCGAGAGAGAAGAACCAGAGGGAAGAAGTGGGGGGCAGGGGGGAGAGAGGGAAAGAAAAGGGGGTGCCTGAGAGGCGGGAAGGCTCAGGCGCCCCAAGAAAGGAAAGTGAGGTCAGTTCCCCGGGCGGGCGGGCGACACCCCTGGGGCACGGGGATCCCCGCCCCGGAAGGCGCCGCGGGGCGTATAAGGCGCGCGCGGCCGCCCCGCTGCCCAGTCGCCGCCGGTCATGCCCAACGCCTCCGCCGTCCAGGACCCCGAGGCCCCGCACCCCGCGCCCCCCAGCCGCGCCTGCACCCCGCTGCTCTGGGCCCTGGGCTCGGCGCTGCTGCTCGTCGCCGGCTCCTTCGCGGCCTTTGTCGCCTGGTGGGTGCTCAGGGCGCCGGACCCTCGGGGTGCCACCGCCCTGGAGGCCCCCCAGCTGCCTCCCGACCCCGGCGCTCGCTTCAGCGACCCCCCGCAGGTGAGAGGTAACCCCCGGGGGTCTTACCCTGCACTCCCAAAGCCGGGCGAGGGAGCCCTGGCCCCATCAAGCACCCCAAACTCAATTGGCTTTCTCTTCTCTCCTTTTCTTTCTTTTTTCCTTTCAAGTGCAATCCTTTTTTTTTTTTTTTTGCTCGTTTTGGGGAACGTGTTGGGGAGGGGGGCGACCACCCAGCGGCGCCCCCAAACCGCTCCCGAACCTCAGGGTCCAGGTTTTTTATTTATTTTTGGGCCACATCGGGCGGTGCTCAGGGCTCAGTCCTGGCAGTGCTTGGGGGACCCTGTGGGGTGCGGGGAGGGGGGTGGGGGGATCGAACCCTGACCAGCTCCTTCCCAGCTTCCTATCACCCTAGCCTGGAGTCAGAGGCCCTTTATCTCCACGTAGAGAGGGGACCCCTCTTTCTCCAAAACCGCTCCGCACCCAGAGTTCCTGGCTCCCTCCCTCCCGGTATCTGAACTGGGTGTGGGTTGTTGCAGGTTGAGTGAAAGATTTGGGGTGTGAATGACTAATGTCACTTGAGTTTTGCTTTTTTTCCTTTTTCAAATTTTGGCAATGTTCACTCTGTGCTCAGGGATCACCCCTGGAGGTGCTCAAGGGACCCACCCTCTGGGATTCCAGGGATCGAACCCTGGTCTGCAATGTGCAAGAAATTGCCTTTCCTGCCGTTGTAACGCTCTGGCCCCGAGTTTTGCTTTTGAGGGGCATTGGGTGGGGGTGGGTCACATCCGGTTGTGCTCAGGGCTGACTTCTGGCTCTGTGCTCAGGGAGCCCTCCCTGGCAGGGCTCTGGGGATCAGATGGGGTGCCGGAGAAGTGCTATCAGGGTGCAGGCTGCGCACACTCACCTTCAGGGGTCCCTCACTCTCTGCCTTTGTTTTTCCACAGGACTTGTTTGGGCAGCTGGTGGCCCAAAATGGTGAGTGTCCTGCATGCTCTGGGAGGGGACGGGGGTGGGGGGCTTGGGAGGGTCCGCTTCCCACCTGTTCCCTTCTTTGGTGAGCGGGACCCCGCCTCTGACCACCTCAAGGCCCAGTCCTCTGAACCCCAACCTCTGAGGGCTGGATCCCCTTCAGCCCTGGTGACCACCTCCCCGCCCGTCTGACCCTTCTGGGTGTCCCGGGCTTATCACGGGAGCCCCCAAATCTCCTTCCAGGAGCCATAGGACAGTGGGGAGGGCGCTGGCCTGGCACACAGCCCACTTGGGTTCGATCCCCGGCATCCGAGTCCCCCCCCCAGGTGTCAGCCCCGAGTACTGCCGGGTGTCACCCCAAAACAACAAAAATCAAAAGCGACCCAAAACAACAAAAACCAAAAGCGACCCAACAAAAAAGGATGTCGCCTCTCTGGTCACTTCCACCTCAGGAGACTGACCCCCCCCCCCCCCCCAACGCCCCAGATTTTCTTCCCTGTCCCGGGTGGAAACTCTCTCCCTCCTCCCTACGAGACTCCTCCCTTCACTTCCATTTCCTGGACTCACCCCTTCACTTCCAAGAAGCTTCCTTCCCTCCTCCCGGCTGGAAACCTCCCCCTTCCCTCCCCCTTCCTAGACTCTCCCTTCCTTCTAAGACACCCCCTTCCCTTCCCTCCCCTTCCCTCTCCCCGTTCCCTGGTCCCCTTGCACACTCCCTCTCTCTGCGCTCTCTTTTTTTTTGGGGGGGGGTCACACCCGGTCATGCTCAGGGGTTCCTCCTGGCTCTGCACTCAGGAATCACTCCTGGCCGTGCTCCGGGGACCCTATGGGATGCCAGGGATCGAACCCGGGTCGGCCGCGCGCCAGGCAGACGCCCTCCCCGCTGTGCTATCTCTCCTTTTGGGACCCTCTGCCCGTCTGCCCCGTTCCCTGGGCTCCCCGTCTCTGCGCTCTCTTTTTTGGGGGGGTCACACCCTGCGATGCCCAGGGGTTCCTCCTGGCTCTGCACTCAGGAATCACTCCTGGCGGTGCTCCGGGGGACCCTATGGGATGCCGAGGATCGAACCCGGGTCGGCCGCGTGCCAGGCAGACGCCCACCCCGCTGTGCTAGCTCTCCTTTTGGGGACCCCCTCCCCGGTCTCCCGTGCGCCCTCCTCCAAGCCCGTCGCCCTCCTCCTCCTCCTCCTCCTCCTTGCCGCCGGGATCCCTCTTCCCTTGGCCGTCCCGGGGTGGGGTGGTGGTGGGGGTCCCGCCCTGGCCACCCCCACCCCGCTGACCGTCACCCTTCCCGCCTGCAGCCCAGCTGAGCGCCGGCGCCCTGAGCTGGCACAGCGCCCCGGGGGTGGCGCGCGTGCTGCGGGCGCGCGGGGTGCGCTACGACGCGGCGACGCGGGAGCTCGAGGTGGCCCGGGCCGGCGTCTACTACGTGTTCGTGCAACTGGCCCTGCGGCGCGTGGTGGCCGGTGGCCGGGCCGCGGGCTCCGTGGTGGCCGCGCTGCGGCTGCGGCCCGCTGCACCCGAGGCCAGCGCGCCGGCCCTCACCGTGGACCTGTCGCCGCCCGCCGCCTCCGACTCGGCCTCCGCCTTCCGGGGTGTCCTGCTGCACCTGACCGCCGGCCAGCGCCTGAGCCTGCTCCTTGAGCCCTCGGTGGGCCTGAGCCCCGCCTGGCAGCTGGACCAGGGTGCCACCGTGCTGGGCCTCTTCTGCGTGGCCCCGGACCGAGCTGGGGGACCAGACTTGCAGCATCCCACGTGACCCCAGCCAGTGGACAACCGGAGACTGACCCCTGCGCTCCTTGGGGGCCCCTGAAGGAAGGGGCCTGGTAACTCTACCTCATCAGACTGGGCAGGGGGGAAAAAAAAAAAAAAAAGGAAAATCCCCTGGACACCTCCTCTTGGGTCACCTCTTTGGGTCACACCCGGCGATGCTCAGGGGTTACTCCTGGCTCATGCACTCAGGAATTACTCCTGGCGGTGCTCAGGGGACCCTCTTGGAGGCCCGCCCGGATTCCTCTACCTCCTGCCCCAAGTGGAACTCTGGGTATTTATTCTGAGCGTGAAGCTCAGTGTATTTTTATATGAACGCATTCAATGTATTTATTGTATACCTGCTATTTGTTCCGGGTCGGGGACACGAAGGTTTCCCTCCCCCCCGCCCCCCCCAAGCCTTATTTATGTTAATATATGGACTAATAAAAGAACTCACGCAACCGTGCTCCCCTATGGAGGAGCTCTAAGGGAATGATTCCCTGTAATTCTGCTGTGTGAACTTCATTGACTCATTGCGGTGTTGTCATTGATTTGGGTCTGTCGGCTTTGGGGCCCCACCCTGCAGTGCTCTGAGCTAACTTCTGGCTCTGAAGGCAGGACTTCCTCCCAGTAGAGCCCCGGGGACCCAACTGGGTGCTGGGAATCGAACCTGGGTCGGCAACACGAAGGGTAAGCACCCTCCCACACCACTATATTATTGCTCTGGCCTTTCAGTGTTGTTATTGAGCGCTGTGGTTTTAAATTTTAGCCTGGCCGAGCCGGGTTCGATTCCTCTGCCCCTCTCGGAGAGCCCGGCAAGCTACCGAGAGTATTCGATATGCCAGACACAGTAACAACAAAGTCTCCAATGGAGACGTTACTGGGCCCGCTTGAGCAATTATTATTATTATTTTTGTTATTTTGGTTTTGTGCCATGTCCTGCAATGCTCAAAGGTTCCTCCTGGGTCTGCACTCAGGAATCACTCCTGGCGGTGCTCAGGAGACCCTGTGGGAAGCCAAGGATCAAACCCGGGTCACCTGCATGCAAGACAAACACCCTACCAGCCTTATCATCATCATTAATTATTATTATTATTTTGCTTTTGGGTCACACCTGGTCAGGGAGCACTCCCGGTGAGACTTAGAGGGTGCCGGGGATCGAACCTGGGTCAACCGCATGCAAGGCAGTGCCCTTCCCGCTGGACTATCGCCCAGGCCTATCCTGAGACTATTTACACTGCAGGAACAGGCCAGTACTGCTTGTCTGGGTTGATTTGACTGACAACCTGCAGAAGGTGATGGATTTCTGAGGGCTGGAGAAATCGGACAGCAGGGAGGGCGCTTGCCTTGCACTGGGCTGACCTGGGTTCGATCCCCGGCACCCCATAGGGTCTCCTGAGCACTGTCAGGAGTGATTTCTGAGTGCAGAGCCAGGAGTCAGCCCCTAAGCATCGCTGGGTGTGGTCCAAAAACTAAAAGAAGGGGCTGGAGTGATAGCACAGTGGGTAGGGCGTTTGCCTTGCACGCAGCCAACATGACCGACACAGGTTCGATTCCCAGCACCCCACATGGTCCCCCGAGCACTGCCAGGAGTAATTCCTGAGTGCATGAGCCAGGAGTAACCCCTGAGCATCGCCGGGTGTGACCCAAAAAGCAAAAAAAAAAAAAAAAAAAAAAAAGAAAAACTAAAAGAAGAAAAGAAAGTGAGCCAAGGGACTAAGCCCGGTAATAAAGTCCAGGCAAGCTCAAGGAAGTCTTTGTCTAGGGTTGTTTTTTTTTTTTTTAAACCGTTTATCTGATCGAACCCAGACGTCATGAGCAAAGGAAGTGAGGGCTTGTTCCATTTCATAGGAGCCTTGAAAGGAACAAGAGACAGTCTGCGGCCATGGGGTGAACCCGGGGCACAGCACCACAGCACGGGGAAAGCCAACAGGCTGTATGAGATCATTATCCAACAATGTCGGATATTTTATTTTAATTTTTTTTCCCCTAGAGACACTGTCTAGATGAATGTCACCTCGGTCTGTTTCCTGTGTGGTGTCAACACAATGCCTCCTCTCGGCGACATCGATGTCCGCTCTGCTCACAAATGTTTCTCACCCTCTTTTTTTTTCCTCCACAGATAATAAATACATTTATTTTATTTATTTGTTTTTGCTTTTGTGGGTCACACCCAGCGATGCACAGGGGTTCCTCCTGGTTCTGCACTCAGGAAGTACTTCTGGCAGTGCTCGGGGGACCCTATGGGGTGCTGGGAATCGAACCCAGGTGGGCTGATTGCAAGGCAAACGCCCTCCCCACTGTGTTATCGCTCCATCCCCCAATACATTTATTTTATTTTATTTTTATTTATTTTAAAATTTTTTATTAGTGAATCACTGTGAGATACAGTTGCAAACTTACAGACTTTCACGCTTGCATTTCAGTCATATAATCATTGAGTACCCATCCCTCCACCAGTGCCCATTCTCCACCACCAATGGTCCCAGTATCCCTCCCACCCCCATCCCCCCACCCCACTCCCCCTCTGTGTCAGGGCATTCCCTTTTGCGCTCTCTCTCTCTCTCTCTCTCTCTCTCTCTCTCTCTCTCTCTCCTTTTGGGTGTTGTGGTTTGCAATAGAGGTATTAAGTGGCCATTGTGTTTGGTCTATGTCTACCTTCATCTCCCATCCCAAGCGGGCCCACCTACCACCCTTTACTTGGTGGTCCCTTCTCTATCTGAGCTGTCTTTTTCCTCAGCACCAATACATTTATTTATTTATTTAAAAATTTTTTTATTAATGAGACATCATGAGGTACAGCTGTAGACTTACAAATTTCTGTGCTTGGGTTTCAGTTAGACAGTGATAGAGTACCCATCCCTCCACCAGTGCCCATTTCCCACCACCATGGATCCCAGCATCCCTCCCACCCCCCATTCCCCCCATCCCACCCTGCCTTTGTGGCAGGGCATTCCCTTTTGTTCTCTCTCTCTTATTGGGTGTTGTGGTTTGCAAAATAGGCAATGGGTGACAATCACGTTCGGTCTATAGTCTACTTTCAGCATGCTTCTCCCATCCTGGGAGGATCCTCCCAACACCCTTTATTTGGTGCTCCCTTCTCTATCTGAGCTCCCTTTTCCCCTAGCGCGTGTGGCTGGCCTCCAAGTCATGAAGCAAAATTCCTGGTACTAATCTCGGCCATTCTTGGGTGTTAGTCTCCTATTTTGTTACTTTCTGTTCCCCAGATGAATGCAAGCTTTCTATGTCTATCCCTCTCTTTCTGACTCATTTCGCTTAGCATGATACTTTCCATGTAGTACCACTTGTATGTAAATTTTGTGACTTCATCTTTTCTAACAGCTACATAGTACTCCGTTGTGTAAATGTACCAAAGTTTCTTTAACCAGTCATCTGTTCTTGGGCGCTCAGGTTTTTTTCAGATTCTGGCTACCAATACACTTATTTTAAATGAACAGTTTGATAAGTTTTGAGTTAGACGTGTATACACACTGATGTAACACCATAATCAAATGGTGTATATAAAGAGTTTATTCTGGGGCTGGAGAGATAGTACTGTTAGGTAAGGTGTTTGCCTTGCATGTGGCTGACCCTGGTTGTATCCCTGACACCCCATAGGGTCCCTTGAACACTGAAATGAAGGTGTCATTTCTGAGTGCAGAGCCAGGAGTCATCTCTGGACTGAAGGCCAAGCACACAGGTGGAGGCACTGGCCTTGCATGCAGCCAACCTGGATTAGATCACTGGCACCACATATAGTGGTGGCTGGAGCCCTTCCAAGAATGATCCCTGAGCACAGAACCAGGAGTCAGCCCTGAGTACTGATGGATGTGGTCTCCCTAACCAAACCAAAACAAAAGGAATTATATCCAGAGGTTCCAGGAAGCATATGACTTTGAGGGACTTCAGTTAGCCAAACACATCTGGTACCTATCATTGGGGGCCATGAAAAAACTAGAGTGTCTTACCATAAATATATAATATATAAACATTAAATACATATTATAAATATTAAATACATATATATAATATATATTTGGGATGGAGCGATAGCACAGCAGGTAGGGCGTTTGCCTTGCACACCGCCAACCCGCGTTCGATTCCTCCGTCCCTCTCCGAGAGCTCGGCAAGCTACCGAGAGTCTCCTGCCCGCATGGCAGAGCCTGGCAAGCTCCTCATGGCGTATTCGATATGCCCAAAACAGTAACAACAAGTCTCACAATGGAGACGTTACTGGGCCTGCTTGAGCAAATCGATGAACAACAGGAGGACAGTGCTACAGTGCTATATAGATATTTGAGGGGACTCAACCTGGTAAACTCGGGCAGACTCTGGGTTCGGTGCTCAGGGATCACTCCTGACAGTGCCTGGGGGACCCCATGGAGTACCAGAGATCAATCCCCATTTGGCTGTTGCAAAGCAAATGTCCAACCGTCTGTAGTATCTTTTGGACCCCTAAATATTTTTATTTTCTGGGGTGAGTTATTTTCCAGGTTGCCAAGTGGCTTCTAAGACAAGCTCCTCACAACCTCCAAAATGCAGTCGCTGGGTAGTGGGGAGGTCCTCAGCCTCTGTCGTGGCGAGAACTGAGAGCAGGCCTGAACCTGTTGTTCGGGTCTGGGAGAGACGTGTGCGTGGCCCCCTGTAAATGAGATTCTCACGAGGACTTTCGGATGGAAACTGTGATTGAGAAGGCGGAGGGATGCGGTGCTGATGGCCGGAGGGAGGCTTTGCATAGCAGGCGAGCGCTCGCGTTCCATTCTCGGCACTGCGCGGTCCCCTGGGGCCCCATCACCATGGCAGTGACCGCCAAGTAGGTTACATAGGGCTCAACTGTTTTTTCCCTTCACACTCTCACCCACGTGGTAACGGAGTAAAGTGAGCCCCAAAGCGAAAGCCGACGACAACGTCGTCGTTTCTCTGATCTCAGACAATCGGCTCATTTCTCAACTCTGCGGATTATAAATAGCCACGACAAGTTAGCAGCCCGGGGCCAAAACTAATCTC